TTTCCCTACATCAAATTCCCAACCATGGGCGGTGCAAATAGACGAGCATTGGATTCCATAAGTACAAATCAAAGGCAAACTGAGGAAAATTTGCTTAGATAGCAAGTAGTAAAAGAAGAGGGGAAAAGCAGAAGAGGAGGAGAAAAGGGGTCATAAATGAACAAAAACCTTCTCAAGCTGATTTATGAGCGAAACAAGTAGAGCGTTGGTGGTCTTTGTACGCTCCTTCTGAGGAATCCTGAATCCACGTTCCATCGCGTACAATCGACCTGTTCAATTATTTGCATCCATAAAGGAAAGGTGAAAAATCAACGATAAAAGTAGGACGCAGCGGGTTTTGTACAGGTTGTATAAAAATCAGCGATATCGAAATAGGGAGACGGAAAGAGAAACAAAAGAAAAGACACGCTCGCAAGCGCAAGCACGCGCACGCCAGAGAGAGAGAGAGAGGGTAACTGAGACAATAATAGGCGACGAGGGGATCGTGTTTCTGCAACTCATCGGCTCTCTGAAGGTAAGGAAAAAGCAGCTTCGCCGGTTCATTCTCGTTCGCCATCACCGTAGAAACTTGATCGGAAATATATGGAGATTGAAATTGACTTCACGGGAGAAGAAGAAACTGAAATAGAATAAAGCGATTCCACGTATATTATATTTGTGGTAAATTGGAACTCTTAATGTTTAATAAGAATCCATCAATCTAATTTTGCACTAAAGAGAAAAATAAAAGAAAACAGAAAAGTCTTATTTTATTCATCGTTATATCACCTTTTATAGGGTTTAGAAGAGAGAAGCTCTAAAACCTAATTTTCTAACTACTGGACTTCAGGCCCAATTATATATTAGTAATGTTCATATTAATATATTTATAACACTTCCCTTTAGACATTACTACATGCCTCATTAAAAACCTTGTTAATAAAAACCCGACAGGGGAAAAAATTAGTCAAGGAAAAAAAGTACATGGTTTATAAAAATTCATGTGTTTTACTAATTGTCTCGTTAAAAACCTTTAACTAATAAACTCATTGGGAAAAACTTAGTTAAAGAAAAAAGAGTACAGCATTTGGTCTTCAGGACCTAATCTTCGGGATTATTTTGAGTTTTTTCCTCTCCCTGAAGACAATAGTCTTCCCAGTTTACGCATACCAATACCATAAATGTATTTTTCAAAAGTAGATGTAGGAAGGGATTTGGTGAATAGGTCTGTCAAGTTCTCGCTAGACCTTACCTTTTGTACAATAATCTCACCGCTCTTCTGGAGCTCGTGTGGGTAAAAGAATTTTGGAACAATGTGTTTTGTCATGCTTCCTTTGACATACCCACTACTCATTTGTAAAACACAAGCTGCATTGTCCTCATAAAGGACAGTGGGGGTTATATCATTTGTAATTCCACATGATCCACGAATATGTTGGATTAAAAATATTAACCATACACATTCGCGTGAAGTCTTGTATAAAGCAATTATTTCTGAATGGTTTGAAGATGTAGTAACCATGGACTGCTTGACCGACTTCCAAGAGATTGCAGTACCACCACAAAGGAAAACATAACCAGTTTGTGATCTAGCATTATGGGGATCAGACATATAACCAGCATCTGAATAACCCCCCAATGTCATATCTTGATTTTTCTTATAAAGTAAACCAAGATCTTGTGAACCTTGAAGATATCTAAAAATATGTTTAATACCATTCTAGTGTCTCCTCGTAGGAGAAGCACTAAACCTTGCTAGCAAGTTTACTGCAAATGCAATATCAGGCCTGGTGCAATTTGCATGATAAAGTAATGCGCCAATGGCGCTCAAGTAAGGGACTTCTGGTCCTAAATTTTATCTTCTTTAGGTCTAAATGGGTCCTTATCCGTTTCAAGGGATCGGACAACCATTGGTGTGTGCTAAGTGGATGAGATTTATCCATGTAGAATCTTTCTAAAACCTTCTTCAAGTAGGTTGACTGGTGTACAAATATTCCTTCAGGGAGATGCTCGATCTGCAGGCCGAGACAATATTTGGTTTTACCCAAATCTTTCATTTCAAACTCCGTCTTTAGGCATGAGCTAGCTTTATCAAGCTCCTCTCGTGTGCCAATTATATTTATGTCATCGACATAAACTGAAATGATGCAAAAGCCATTCGTTGACTTCTTTATAAACACACAGGAGCACACATCGTTATTAACATAATTATTTTTCACAAAAATTCACTCAGTCGGTTGTACCACACCCTACGCGACTGCTTTAAGCCATATAATGACTTTTGTAATTTAATGCTATACATGTTGCACGTTTTATTTTCCCTTATTTCGGGAACCTTTAATCCTTCTGGATTTTCATATATATATATATATATATTTGTGTCCAATGACCCATATAAATATGCGGTCATGACATCCATTAACTGCATATCTAAATTCATAGTTACTGCCAAAGATATCAAATAGCGGAACGTCATTCCATCCATTACAGGAGATTATGTTTGATCAAAATAAATACCGGATCTCTGCGAAAACCCTTGAGCAACTAATCTAGCTTTGTATCTCACCACATCATTATTTTCATTTCTCTTTCGTACGAACACCCAGTTATATCCTACTGGGATAACATTTTGAGGTGTACGCGCAATAGAGACAAAAACTTTACGTTTATTTAGCGAGTCTAGTTCAACCTCAATTATCTCTTTCCATCTTACCCAATCGGAGCGCTTCCGGCACTCTGCAATTGATTTAGGTTCTGGATCCAGATTATTAGAGATGGTAAAGGCAACAATAGAGGCAAATGTGTCGTCGACGACTATGTTACTTCTATTATAAGTTTCTCATGTATCAACAAAATTCGTAGCTACTTCAATATTCACATCAACCAGATCTCCATCATTTCCCATTATATTTTGATCTGTATGTTCCGCAATCCTAGTATTTTTATTATTTGTTGCACGTGCATTTAAGCTAGGATTTTCGCCTTCTGGATGATTCTCTTTTGGAGATTTTGAGAGTGATTCAATATTCTTATTTGATCTTGTTTTTCGCGGATTATTGTCTTTTGTACCAACGGGTCTACCACGCTTCTGGCGTGGAGCATATGTAGGAATATTAGATTTCATGGGGACTTCCACTCGTTGTGGTGCATTGATAGAAGGTACATGTGATTTTGTCACTCCTTTATGATCAGTAAATGCATCTGGCAAATTACTTGCTAAATATTGAAAATTAATTATATTTTTAACTTCGAGTTCAGTTAGATTAGTGCGTGGATCTATATATTGTAGATTTTCTACATTCCAAGAAATTTCTCGGCATTTGTTTGAGTTTGGGCTTTTGTCTCCCCCTTGCCGGAAAATTCTCTTCATCGAATATGCAGTCAGCGTATCGAGCTGTAAATTGATCCCCAGTCATGGGCTCTAGGTATTTTAGAATAGACGGAGATTCATAGCCAATATATATACCTAGATTTCTATGAGGGCCCATAGAGGTACGCTGTGGTGGTGATATGGGAACATAGACTGCACAACCAAATACTCTCCTATGGGAAATGTTAGGTTCTTTACTACACACTAGTTGTATAGGGGAGTAATCATGATATGCAGTAGGTCGGATTTGAATTAGGGCAGCAGCATGTAAAATTACATGTCCCAACATGAAATTGGTAAGTTGGAATTTTGTAACAATGGTCTAGCACTTAATTTGATGCGCTTAATGAGTGATTCGGCTAGACCATTTTGTGTGTGGACATAAGGTACCGGATGCTCCACTTTGATGCTTAGTGACATACAGTAATCATCAAAAGCTTTCGATGTAAATTCACCGGCATTATCCATTCTAATAGTTTTAATTTGAAAATCAGGAAATTGAGCTCTTAATTCAATAATTTTAGCAATGAGCTTTGGAAAAGTCTGATTTCTAGTGGATAATAAAAAAACATATGTCCATTGAGTGGAAGCATCTATTAGTATCATGAAATATCGAAAAGGTCCCGAAGTGGGATGAATCGGACCACATATATCACCTTGAATCCTATGAAGGAACATAGGAGATTCAATTCCAACTTTAGTACGTGAAGGTCCTAATATTAATTTTCCCTTTGCACAAGCATCACAAATAGATTCAACAACTCGAATAGATTGAACAAAACACATTCCACATAATTCAAACAAGAATCAAAATCTTTAACCCTAGTTGAATGGATTACCTCATGCTTAGATTCAATCTCATGTTAACTGGAATTAAAAACATAAAACCAATCAACAATAATAAAATAGAATTAAAAAACTTGCAATCGGATTAAGACTTGAAAGATTTCAATCCAAGTGTCTTTGTGTCCAACAATCCAAGCATGAGAAAATAAAAAAGAAAAGTGGAGAAAATTATCCTAACAATATTGAGTTTTTGGTGACAAAACTTGAAAGGAACGATATTGGGGGTTGTTCCTTAGGTCTGGAGGTTTGTTTTGATATATAGTGCGCGAAAAACGGAGCTAAAACGAGCAAAAATAAAAACAGAGGTCGACAGGGTCGCGACTCGCGAGTTGACTCGTGAGTCGCGAGTTGGACGGGTCACTGGGCTGCTGGAGGCTCTGTTAAAGTCGCGAGTCGCGAATTTTTCTCTCGCGACTCACGACTTTGTGCTCGCGACTCGCGAGATTCTGGGCGGCACTGCGCCATTTTGCGTTTTCGCCTCGTTTGAGCTCGTCCAAACTCGGAATTGAGTTCCTTTTTTTCCTATGCGTCGCTAACGAACCCCTATATTCAGTTATGCTCTCGAAACCAACTTTTCCTGAAGAGAAAATTCGCCTGAATCTTTCAACCTACACACCAAAAATGACAAAACACAAAAGAAAACTGGAAAAATAAACAAAAAACACCTAATGACTCAAAATAAAGGAAAACACATAATAAAACACGAAACATACTAAAAAATAAAGAAACAACCTAAAACAGGGAAAAAAGAAAGATAAAATAAACACGAAAAATGGAACAAAAATGGGACAAACAGAGCCTTTCTTTTCTTATCCTTGAGCATTCTTTGATAGGCCTCAACTAGTTGTCGAGGAGTACGACATGTGCTGGACCAATGGCCACTGCATCCACACTTATAGCACACTTGCTTATCTTGATTAGCATGTGGAGCGTCGATGTTGAGATTTTCTGCACGACCTGTCGGTTCCTCAACACCATGACCTCGTCCTCCACCTCGAGTCCAGACATGACTACGACCGCAACCACGACAACGACCGCGACCATGACCACGACCACCACGGGGTGGCTGGTGTTGTAGCACAAATTATTATTTTTACCGAGTACCGAATCGAAAGATTCACTCCCCGGGTCGATCTCACGAGGAAGGCGGTTCGGAATTCAACTTTGGTATCGACAGCACATAAAAAGAAAATAAATCCGAAACACTTTAATCAGATAAAAGGGATGAATAATTATCTAAGAAACAAAATATAATAATAATAATAATAATAATAATAATAATCTACCTAAAAATATTAACGAAACAAAGATGGAGAAGCTAGGGAGTCGGGGATAATCAAATAATAATAATCTACCTAAAA